CTGCGGGGGTAGTGACGGAGCACGCGGCTCCAGCAGGCTCCCTGCCAGGCAATCGGGCACAGGGAGTGCTGGCCTCCCTGGATGGTCCCCTGCTGCCCCTTACCCCCTCCCTCATCCCCACCCCGGCCTGCTGGAGAAACTCCTGAAACCTTGGCTCCTGGCCTGGGAACACCCTACCAAAGGGTTAAACAACCCCAAGTAACATCAGACCTGGGGCTGGGGCCTGTCTGGGCGGGTGGCAGATGCCCATCCGTAGGGGCCCTGCCCCTTGTGGCATGGCAGCTGGACAGGTGGGTACTGGCTGCTTTCTTGGCTCTAACTTGAGGTGACTAAGGGCTCCGGGGGGCCTGGTGCATGTGCCCCCTGCTTAGCTGGCAAGGGGGCTCCTGGGCTGGTCGTAGACCTAACTCTGAACCTGACACTTTCAGTAACCCCCTTACGGCCCATCCCACTCGTGCCTGGACATTGCTGTATCCCGGCGCTGGCCCTCCCATAGTTGCCACCGTTGGCCAGTCACTGACTGAAATGAACCCGTCTGCCTCCCTCCCTCCCTCCCTCCCTCTCTCAAATCCCTCCTTTGATGTCCCCAGTGACCGCCAGCCATGATGCCAGCGCAGGCTAGCCCTGAAGCTCAGAGCTGTCCCTGGAGCTGGGCCACCCTAGTGATGCCTAATTGCCGCTAGTGGCGTGGCTGTACTACAGCTTCCTTCCTAAGCATGATGGCCCCCACATCTGGAAAGACTGGTAAGGTAACCATCCCTTCTCCAGGGCGCACAGCGGGACTTGCAAGCTTCTGCCCATCTCTGTAGCCCAGATCTCCGTGGCAACCAGTGCATGGGCCTCACGCTACCCACCCACCAGAGCCTGGGGAATGACATACCGGGCCTTCTTTCTAACCCACAGCTCCAACGTGGCAGCACAACATGGCACCACAGCATGGCACGTCTTCCGTTGAGCTCCCGAGCCAGCCGGGACTGGCTTGGTCCTGGCTGGGGCCGGGCAGAGGAACCTCATTGAACCATGGCAGGAAAAACCCTGCTGCTTGGGGTCAAAGGCGTTCATCTCTCCCCAGCCCCCCACTTCGAGGCCACCGGCCACACCCTTGTCTCACTCCTGTCACGTGGTGGGGGAGGCGAGCGACGTGACGCCGGAAGCACACGACTAAATTCTCTCCTGTGCACGTTCGAGAGCAGCACTTGTCAGGCACGTCCGATTGAACCATGGCAGGAAAAACCCTGCTGCTTGGGGTCAAAGGCGTTCATCTCTCCCCAGCCCCCCACTTCGAGGCCACCGGCCACACCCTTGTCTCACTCCTGTCACGTGGTGGGGGAGGCGAGCGACGTGACGCCGGAAGCACACGACTAAATTCTCTCCTGTGCACGTTCGAGAGCAGCACTTGTCAGGCACGTCCGGCAGACGCTCCGGAGGGGCTAGAGCCAGCCCCACTGCGGCAGGGCTAACCGTGCCCTCTAC